AGGATGCTTCCCTTGAAGCAGGGATTTGCTCTGCTCAGTGCTGTGTCCCCAGAATATCAAAATTTGCAAGATTTAAGGGGGTGCCAAAAACTCAGTCATCGGGAGGAAGAATATTTTACTGCACTATTTTAAAAAATAAAACCTAATGCCAAAAATCCCACGATGAACAAGATCTCAGGATTTCAAAGCAAGACGGGATCCAAACCAGAGCTTGGACAACCCCGCCCCCGAGGGGCTTTAACAAACCTCACGGTGGTTTCCGGGCATCGGCCTCGGAGACGAGAGCGTTTCCTGAGGCCAGCAGGCAGGGAGGCAGCAGAGGAAGCCCCCAAGCCCAGCAGCCGCGGCCGAGGAACATTGGTGTCACGTGGTGGGAGTTAAGCTCCCAGCTGTGCCCCTTGCGGGCCAGCTGACCTCGTTCAAGCCATCTCAGCCTCTGGCTTCAGCTCCTGCAGCTGCAAACTGCCGGCGACACTGATGTCCTCTGAGCTGGGTTTCCTGACACTGAGAAGGAAGTACTGGGCGAAGCACCTCCTGGCAGGCAGAGATCGGAGATTGGAGATCGGAGATTGGAGATCGCCGGCCCGACCACACTCCCCGCCTGGCAGGCACCTGGTGTGTGCGTGTGTGTGGTGGTCTGAAGCCCCTTGTCTGGGTGTGGGTGAATGAGTGAGGTTTCCTGCCTTATGATGTTACCCCCGTGAGGGCTGGGGCTCAGCCCAGTTCACCTAGGTATCCCAGCACCAGGCAGAGCAGGTGCCTATGCGGGCGACGCTTGTCGGAACGCTGGTTCTGGAGTCTGGGTTGCTCTGCTTCTGATCCAGCTTCCTGCCAATCCGGCTTAATGCTAATGCCGTCCTGAGAAGGCAGCGGAAGATGGCCCAGGTGCTTGGGCCCCTGCCACCCACGTGTGAGACCCGGATGGAGCTCCTGGCTCCTGGCTTCAGCCAGAGCCCTGGTTGTTGTGGCTACTTGGGGGAGTAAACCAGTGGATAGAAGATTCTCTCTCTCTCTCTCTCTCTCTCTCTCTCTCTCTCTCCTGCTCTGCCTTTCAAATAAGTAAATAAATAGCTTAAAAAATATGAATGGCAGACAGGGCATGAATGGGAATGATAAGGAAAAAGAAGACAGAAAGAGAAGGTCTTATTTATCTCAGAGTTGCAGTGCTCACCTGCGCTGGCGAGTGTGTTCGTGGAGTGAACGGGCGCCTGCAGACGACCGGAGGGCTCTGGGAGGCAGCAGTGGAGCACTCTGTTGTGTGCATCCCTCAAAGTTTCCCGGGCGGCCTTCTGCCTCATGGGGTCGTAAAACAAATGCTCGGTGAACCTGGCGAAGGGGCTCTGGCCTTTGGCAAGTCCTATGAACCCGGATCTCAGTGTGTGAATCTGTGTAATGGGACCAGCGCTGCTCTCAGGGCACTTGTGAGTAACAGATATGCACAGAGGGGATCCTAGGATGCCAACCCCAAATGCTGTCAGCCTCCCGTGTCGATTCCACCGTGGCAGGAAGTGGGAAAGACGAGGATCACACAGGAGGTTTGCACGAAGGGATTTCCACCGAGCAGCCGGCTCGCCAAACGCCCCTCCCCCTGCTGGCGCTACTAAATGTACACGGCAAATAGCCAGTCACCTCAAAGGCAGGTGCCTTTGGTGTGAGAGCTTTCAAAATTACTGAAAGCTTGCAAGCCCTTCACCCAGGAACTTGATTTCTGAGGCTACGACTTAAAGGAAGCCCACGCCCGTGAAGTCCACACAAACAGATCCTGGTTATTTCTTTAACTTCCGACAGATGGTTATCGAGCACCTGTGTGCCTGCTTGCACACTTCTCCATCCTGGAGACACAGCAGTGAATGGGACAGAGAGAAATCCATGCGCGAGTGGAATTTATGTTCTGTTGGAGGGAAGTAAACAAGAGAAAAGTAAAGCAGAGGTGGGGGCTGGTGCGGGAGTGTGTGGTTGCCCCTGGGAGCCTGGCTGTCAGAGACAGGGGTGAGGAGAAGGTGATGAGGGAGGGAGTGAGCCCTGGGGCTGGCCCAAGGATGCGGTCTGACAGGAGGAGGAGCCACCGCGGAGGCCCTGGGGTGGCTGTGTGCTGTGGGTGCAGGAAAGCTGATAGGGGCCAGGGCGACTGGAGGTAAGTGAGGGAGGGGCAAGGTGAGCGAGGGCAGCAGGGGTCCCTCACCCCTACACTGTGAGATCGGGAGGAGGAGGGGCGTCTTTGGGTGAGGGCAGGGAGACAGAGGCCGGTGGTGTACAGCCTTGCACACCACGCCAAGGACTCTGGGTTTTAGTCAACACGGGACGGGAAGTTCATGGCCAGGTGACATGATCAGACCGACAGCTTGACAGGGCCCCTCTGGCCCCTGTGCAGGGAGGAGCCCAAAGGAGAGGCTGCTGCAATAATGCGGCCACAGACAATGGAGGCGTGGCCTGAGTGCTGGCTGTGTGAGAGACGCAGATTCCAGGTCCGTTCTGAAGGCAGAGACTGGAGGAACCCGACAGGCCATTCTGTACCTCGGAAGCAACCTTGGAGCTTGGCAGTGGGAGACCTGCAATTAGCATGGAAAACAGACCCTGCCACGGGCTTACAAAGGAACGAGGTGGCTCTCGGTACCCACGTCCAGGTGCGTGAGGAAAGCAAGGTGCACAGCACTGTCCACCGTGTGTTTACCAAACAAAGCAACACAGGCACACACATGCACACACATGCACTTCCACATGTTTGTGTGTGTGTCTGCAAAAATTACCTCTGTGTGGACTGGCGCTGCAGCACAGGGGCTTAAGCCACCACTTGCAATGCCGAATGGTATCCCAGGTCGCAGTACAGGTTCTCACCCCGGCTGCTCTGCTTCTGATCCTGCTCCCTGTTGACCTGCCTGGGAGGCAGCAGATGATGGCCCAAGTGCATCCCTGCCACCCACATGGGGGACCTGGAGGAAAATCCTGGCTCCTGGTTTCATCCTGGCCATTTGGGCAGTGAACTAGAAGATGGAAAGTCTCTCTCTCCCTCTCTCTCTCTCCCTTTGTATGTTGCTCTTTCAAACCAACTCTAATCAACTACACTCCCTGAGGGCACAGGGGCACTGGGGTCCAGAGGTGTGGGGGCAAATGCCACTTTTCTTGCACCTTGTGGATTTTGTGCCTCTTCCAGTGGTTCTCGACTGCAGGTGATCTTGCTCCCTAGGGGACATCTTGCCCTGAATGGAGACCCCTTTGGTTGTGGTGCCTGGGGGGAGGTGCTACTGGCATGGTGAACAGAGGCTGGGGTGCCGCTCAAACCTCACACAAGGCAAGGTGGCCCCCCAAGAGTGACCCGGATCTAAAACGGCAGGAGCGCTGAGGATGGAGAAGCACGCAGCTACCAAAAATCATGATGAGAGTCTTGTTTTCTCAGCTTTTTTTTTTCTTTTATTCTGAGCTGATATATTTCGGGGACTTGAAACATCCTGCGTACGCAGTACACGCAGTTACTTTTTTGACAGCGTTATTTGGCAAAATGAAATGCCAGCAAGGCTTCTGCACTTCCGCCATCGGAATCGGAAATGTTACTGGGCTATGGAATTCTGAAGTCCAGAAAGTAAGCTTTGCACTAAATAAAAGTTCCAAGGTAGCTGTCCTGGGGATGGCATTTGCTGACATCCCATAATGGTCCTGGGGCCAGCTGGGATGCCCACATCCCATAACAGAGAGCCCGGGCTTGAGCCCCGGCCCTGCTTTTGTTTCCAACTTCGTGTTGAAATTCCATCCTCTGGTTCACTCCTCAAATGCCTGTGACAGCCTGGAGCTCCATCCGGGTCTCCCATGTGGATGACAGGGACCCAAATACTTGAGTCATCATCGCTGCTACCCGGAATGCACATCGGCAGGAAGCTGGATTGGAAGCAGAGTAGGGACTGGAACCCTGGCACTTGAACCTGACATGGGATGTGGGTGTCCCAAGCAGCGTGTAGACCGCTGTGCCAAACACTCGCCCTGGTTTCTGCTTTCTGAGACAAGGTCACACGCGCACTGACGTTTCTTCCTTGCTCTCTCTTCAGCCTGTCACTCTGGGGGACAGGACAGTCAAGTCCGTGCTGGCAGGACAGTCAAGAGCTCTAAAGGGAGGTCACACGGTAAGCAAGTGAGGCTCAGCCAATGGCTGGCAAGGACCTGAGGCCATCCAGCCCCAGGCTTGCAGAGGGCTACAGCTGCTGTCTCCATGGCAACCTCATGGGAGGCCCCCCCCCTCCATACCCCAGCCAGCACCACCCAGCGGAAGGTGATCCTGAGTTCTGGAGCCACAAGACAATGGGATAGTAAATGCTTCCATTTGGCTTTGCGTGACTTGTTCCCCAGTTCTGGAAACTTAGCCCTACTGGTCAAGGCAGAGATCCCGAGAGGGGGCCTGGCCTGCACTCTGTCCGCGGATGTGTTTCATCCGACTAGCACAGGACTAACAGACACTAGGAGCTAGCAGTTAAAAATTGGGACATTTCCATCTAAAACTTAGATTTCTGATTTTTCTTGAAAAGATGTGCATTGGTGGATCTGCCTGTCTACGGAGTGCCAACAGCTGGAGAGAAACAGTGTTCACCCCTTTAGACAGCACACGTGTTCTCCAGTTTGCCGCACTCACCACCACTCCCTTATCTCTCTTAGCTGGGTTGCCTCATTCATTTAGGCTACCCGCTCGGCCCCTGTAGGCATCTGAGTGTATACTCTCTGTTGCGAGATGTTTTTATGCAAGATGGAGACCGGGCATAGCTAACACGAGAGCCAAATGATCAGAGCTGGGGCTTTGAGCCAGCATGGGGTGGGTTACTGTTGGCTTGAATAGTGGGGTGATAGCCACATGGTCATGCCCTGCCTCTTCAGAGTAGAGAGAGAGAGAGAGAGAGAGAGAGAGAGAGAGGCAGCACCACCCCTCCAGCTCCACAGGCTCCCAGACTCGGCTTCTCTGAGAGATCTTTCCACCTCTGCCTCCCTGTGCCCTCCAGCAAATAAAACAAGTGCCACCAAGCGTGTTTGCTTCATACCTTTTATTGAACTCTGCAGACTTCATTAAGGGACTATTTACTTGGAAATTCTTGGACATTCGGACGTATTTTACAAGACAGGACAGCAGCTGGAGGTCATGGGGATCACAGTTTCATCTCACCACAGGCATAAAAAGACAGGGGTGTGTGGGTGTGGTTTCCCCGTGTGTGTGTGTGCATGTGTGAGTGTGTGCACGTGTGTGCAAGTGGGTGTGCACTCATTTTCACCTTTACAGGAAGGACCAGACACGGCAACCCACGCGAGATGAACGGGACCCATGGACGCGAGCCCGAGAGCACGGGGCTGAGGACATCGGTCGTTTATGGCTGCTGTGGTTGGTTTGGCTCCCATCAAAAGTGGGGTGATCAGATGGCTTAGCTGGCAGGAAAGCCCCCACCTCACATCACGGGTTCTCGGGACAATTGGAGGGGCTCCGCGGAGGGGCTCTGGGCCCGTGCTAACCCAGTGGGCTCTGGGGCTAGATGGGCCCTAAAGCTGGGAGCCAGGCTGGCTCAGGGAACATGGTTCCATCTCCAGACGTCGGCTGCCATGTCCCTGCCCCCAACAAGTTGCCACCCGAGAAAGGCCACTTTGCACCGCTGGCTCAGCCCATTGGGAAACCACTCGGATCTCTGTGTGAGCCATGGCCCCCATCGGCTTGGGGCCCAGCAGAGTCGAATGCACCTGCTGTCTTTAGCCCAGGTAGAATCAAAGAGCAGATGAGGAGGGGCCATTTTGGGGCTTCAATGGGTTGGGCCCACTTCTCCTTCCTTCCCGGCTGGGCAATGCCTCAAGCCAGGTAGGACTTGTTTAACTCCCTCTGCGCCCACACATCCGCCCAGCCACTCATTCACTCCGAGAGCAACGCTTCACACACTCGCTCACTCAGAAAAACATGGGTAGGATGACAGCCCCGTGACAAGGGCACGCACTGTGTGTTGGGGGGGGTGGGTAACCCTGAGTTCCCAGTGCAGAAGATGGGGCTCCCAGCCCTCGATCTTGAGTTGAACTCAAGCTAGGTCTGGAGCCTAGAGGCCAAGTGGCCCCGGGTCGTGGCTGCTGCCCTCCTCAGTCCCACATCCTCAAACATACCCGCCTCCTCTCTCATCTCAGAGTGTGTCCCAAACCCTGGTGAGCCCAGGAGACTGGGAGCAGGGCCAAGCGACAGCTGGAAGTTCTCAGGCATTTTCCTTGTGCGTCCCCCTGGTTTGACACCTGGTTTGCTCAGGAGTGCGGGTGAGCATCCTGAGGGCAGAGGAGTCCCCCCACCCCTCTTCTCTCTGCTCTGTCATTGCAGTCTTGTGTTGTTGTGACTTAAGCCGCTCCTGCAGGGCAGAGCCTCCGACTGGGTAGTGGTCTGTGTCTTATTTTGGGTTTGGAGGAAGCAGCTGCTCGGCCCATTTATCCAATGATACCATGCTGCCTCGTCTCCCGGAACCTAAGACCACCTGGTCTTGAGTTGGACCTGAGCTTGAAGTCCCACCTCCACGCCCCCATTCACACTCGAGTTCATGCCTGTGGGGCGGAGAGAATGAAGAAAACGCTCCTGTCAAATGCCGCTCTGGGAGAACGCGTGTTGAGACGGACCACGGAAGGCAGCCGCTGGCGCGGGGGAGTGTGGGCACCCTGTCTCGTTCTGCTGTCAGATTGCGTTATGGCTGCCTCTCTCTTTTGGCCCTTCTGGGTTGACTTCCAGGGTGGAGATTTTCCGAGTTCTAGAATGGTGTCTCCGGCTTTATTCGCCAGAGCTGGGGAGAGAGCCCTTTTGCTATTGTCTGGGCAGTTGTTCGCTAGCTGGCAGGGTGGCGGGCAGAAGTGGTTGTGTCTCTTGTCCAGGCAGCCTCAGGCTCATGAGGGCACAGAGTCTGGGCAGAAGGGCCAAAGCACCGAGAAACAGCCAGCCGGAGGTGGGGACGTGGGGGTGGCTCCTTGGCTGGCCTGGGGAGGGGTGTAGCACAAGGCTCAGCCCAGTGTGGTGCCTGCTGGGCTACTGGGAGGGGTGGGATGCGTGAGTGATTGACAGGCCACGGAAACTGCCCCATGCAAGACGGGAAGGAAGCAGGGTCTCTTCTTTGGCATTGCCCCCAGCAGCTGTAAATAAATCCTACAATCTGAGTTTCCGCTGATGGTGTTCCAGGCCTTTGCCTCAGTGGCTTGCTTGAACTTGTGCCCAGAATGCACAAACCACCTACACACACACACACACACACACACACACACACAAAGCACATGCACACACACGCCAAAGACACAAAGAGGATTGCCATATTGCTCAGTCCAGTTTCCACGTGATGCTAGGGCTCCCTTGCCAACATCCATTTTGCACATCGTCTGGCCTCCCTCTAAACTGTGAAGTAAGGTAGCTCACCCCCAACATGGCAGAGGGCTCCAGGATCAGACAACACCCCCTGTCAGAAGGGCTCCCTTAACTGGGGTTGGAGCTGACCGCCTGTTCCTCCCGTACAGGAGACGCGCAGGCGGCCCTGTGCTGCTGGCTGGCTCCCTGTCCGCTGAGCTCTCTCACTCCAGCCATCCGTTAGCTCTTTTCCCGACCTCTGCAGGGAGGGATGGGGAGTTAGGGCTAGAGGCGAGGAGGAGGGTGGGCTTTGTCACAGGAGCCCCTTCCAAGTTCCACTTCTTCCAGTTGGCATTTTGGGAAGTCTGGGAGAGATTCTAGGTCAAGACAGCATCAGGAACAGCGGCTGGAGATCCAAACCACCAACCTCTTTCCTGATGAGGACAGCCACGAACAAGGAGATTTGCTGAACTGGGCAGCACCACCGAGAGGCAATATTTTCCTTTATTGTTCTTGTGCAAACTTTACAAATAATCTTGTCTTATTTGGCTCTGGTTAAAAGCAATTGACCAGGAATTTTAGGGGTGGGAAAACTGATTAGGGTCATAGTTCAGACTAATAAACTTGGATCTGGGTTGATTTCTCCTTGGGGAGATCTGATGGAAATGGCCCACTGCACCTAGGGGTCCTGGTTTGGCCGAGCCCAGAGCCGGTGCTGCCAGTGAGGTTGTGGGATGCCAGAAGCTAAATGAATGTCAGCTGGAGACCTCCTGGCCTTTCTCCATCTTCCTGTGTGCACTGATGGCCGGGGAATCACTTCCTGCCCAGACCCTGCTCAGAGAGATGATCTCTGCGCACGTGAGGCTGGAAACCGCCCCAGGGGAGCAGTGACGGGACAGCCCCCCAGATTCCTCAAGGCATAGACAGTTGGAAGCTGGAAAAACACCACTGCCCTGGCTCTGAGGGGCCAGGTGGCCAGAGAGGGGAGGGACATCTCTTCTCAGGGTTTGGCTGCAAAGCTGCCTGGCCACTGTTTCTCAGTGAGGCTGGGAGAAACGGGGTGGAAAGAGTGACTGATTTTAATTAAAAAAAAAAAAAAAAGAAAGAAAGGCGATGAGAGCAGAGGCCCAGCATGTTCCTCTGATGGTCACAAGGACCTGGATGCGTCCGGGACCTCCGATCCGACTGATGCTTCAGGGAACCCGGCACGGGACAGGGGACCTGCCCGGCCGAGGGGGACTTGGCTGTGGTCTGGACCTCAGAAACGCTAGCAGCTAGTCTGCTTGCATGAGATTGCTTGTTCCAAGATCTCTGGGGGGCGAGAAAACCCAGTCCCTCCAGATCCATGCTGGGGTGGGTGGGTGTGGGGGATGCCCGTGGCCAGCCCACGTCCCACTGTGAGAGCGAGGGCCCCCCACAGCCCTGCTGCCCCTGGCCTTACCCCTGCATTTGTGCCTTTGAGTCTTAAGAACAACAAATAGAACAGACACACGGACAGAATGAGGAGAGTGACAGCGACAACAGACTCGGGGCCTGGTGGCAGGAAATGCCTACACAGGAAGTCAGAATCCAGAGTTTTTCTCTACCCCCGGAAAGTCAGAATCCAATGGGAAAAACAGCTCAAAGGATGACAGAAAGAAATGGAAAAGACCAGAAAATACCAGCTAGGATACCGACCAAAGATAAAACGCCCAGGATATTATTCTGTGTTACAAAAGAAGAAATTAGACTCAATTGCCCTATTATAAATTTGCTAAAAATACATTTATATATCTTTTTTTTTTATCTGAACAGAAAAATAGACTACTCTGAGATGCATGGACATCCTAAGACGCGGTAGTGCATCCGATCCTTTTAGAGCCAGAAAACGTGGCCAAGGAAAACGCAGAGGTAAGTCTCATTTCTGGGTGTGGCCAGGGCTGGACTGGGGGGTCCTGGCTGAGCGTGGTGAAAGCAGGTGGGCGCTGCCAGGTGAGCAGGCAGAGGCGAGCGAGGCCGGTGTGTGCTGGCAGCTTTCCGGCATCCTGCACGGGGCACCAGGGGCAGCCCCCTTTCTCAGCCAACTCCGTGGCCACAGAACAAGTCTTTTCCCAAAGAGACATGCCGGCAGGTTTCTCGCCACGCCCTCCTCTGGATTCAAGGCTGAGAAGCCTGGGGTTGGATTATTTGGGAGACTAATTGGCAGAGAAATCAGGAAAGGAGAGGGACTGAGACCTGGCTTTCGTGACCGCTGTCCATGGTGAATTTTAAATCTCCCCTTGTTCACAGACTAGACACCCCAGCCGAGACTGGAGCCGGAAGGAAATGTACAATAGTTACAAATATCAACAATACGTTACAGTTTTACAGAAGAGAATCCTGTTTTGTTTGTTTCTCCTTCGAAACATGGATGTTGTTAGGAGATAAGGGCGGAGAGAGGCTACAGTTACCAGCACGTGGAGGGGAGGTGGGGTCAGTTTGCAGGAGCTCGGGTCACCAGCAGTTGTCAGCCACAAGCTGAATGCGTTGGAAGGAAGTGGCCTTCTCTGGGTTTTGTGGTTTCTCTTTCTCTCCACGCTTCTAGAAAAAGGGGCTTCCTCGGAACCAGCGTTCCCTCCTCCTTCTTCCTTCCCTTCCAGTGTGCTTAAGATAGGATTCCTGAAGAAGGCACTGAGAAGTCTGCTGCACAAAGTTCTGTGGTTTTCCTGTACCCAAGGACGAAGAGGTGACTATGCGGTGTCCCCCAACGCCTGCCCGCCTCCTCAGCGCTGCAATCGGGACTGAGACACACAGCTGCGCTGATCCCTAGCCCTTTCTGAGAGAGGCAGAAGCTGGAACCCAAGTTCAGCTGAGTTTCGCTGGATTCGCCAAAGGGACCTGGCCTCCAGCTGCCGCCAGCCCCAGCTGCGTTAATGTGGGTCCACTCGCTTCTTCCGGCTCTCCGTGGGTCCAGAGCGCGTGGGGATGGATCACCAAGTTCAAGTCGTCCTTGCGTCCACATCACTACTTTCCCCGTCCCTCTCAAGGCCTGTCTATCGAGTTTGGCTTCTCAGTGGAGACCCGCGGGTGGATTTCTCAGTGCAGGTACACACAGGTACGCGTTGAGTGTACACCTGTTAAAAACAATTCTGAATCTGTTTGTTTTTGGCGGGTGGGGGCTGGGAAGACTTAAGACTCCCTATGGGAAGAGATCAGAGGGAAAATCTAGATTCCCACAATATATACACACACAGGTAAAGGGGGAAAAAAAAAGAAAGAAACCAAAGCAAACGGAACACTTTCTAAGCATAGTATATGCTGTATTTTAACGATTCTGTTTCTATAAGAACTCTATAGGACTCTGGTTAGGAAGCCTGGAAAGGTAGGTTCGCATGATACCTCTGAATTCCTCCTTCAAAAGTGACTCGGTACAATGCTGCATTCAGATCAAGGTATACGAGGAAGGTCCCACACGACACAAGGCAGAAAGGGCCTTTGGTTACAAGGAGAGTTGCACCGACTGGTTATCAGATTTTTTTTTAAAGAAATCATAATTTCTAATCTTTACACTTCACATCTGCTTCTATCAACAAATGAAATGCCTTGGTTTGAAGAAGGGGTACTCAGTTCCTTCTCGTGATATATGGCTATATTGAGACACGGTCACTTTCCTGATATGTAAAATAGACTCTATTATTAGTATTCATGTTACAGATAGCATCAGCTCTAAAAACATCTGAATCGGAAATCACAACTATTTACTTTTATCAAAAAGCATTTGTTTGTTTTCCCTGAAGTTTCACAGTTGTGCTGATGGTGGACATACACGGTGAGGAAAACAAAGAGACGAGTCGGATGCCGGCGGAGAGCCATCCCATGGTCGCTGCTCCTCCGGCGGCCCCCAGCCTGGACGCCGAGCTAGGCAGCGCCGCCGCTTCCTCTCCGTGGTGCGCCAGCCCACTCCCTGCCCCGAGCTAAGTCCCCCTTGTGGGGCTCTCTGGGTACTCTGCAGGTACTCGGCGAGAGTCAAGTTCTCCTTTTCCTTGATAACACAGCAAGTAACAGGGCTGCACCGTGCTCGGGGCAGCCACAGTCCCTGGAGGTGCTGAGAAGTGGTATGCACTGGTGATGTAATGACCTCACGTTGTCACACCCGTGACAGGTGGCCCAACCTCAGGCCATTGTGCGGGGGGCAGGCAGAACAGCTCCATGGTACTTGTGTACTAACAGGCGGATCATGCCCTGGTGCTAACAGGCTGGCCAGCAACAGATTCTCTGCAGAACAGGCAAACCAGTACCGCGTCTTTGCTCCACACCTGTCACTGAACCCGGCGACAGGCCGCTGCACAGCACTGTACTTGGGACATCACCAGTCAATGTTACAACAGGAGAGCAGCATTGTTCCAGCGTGCTACAGGCAGGCAGACCAGTACCAGGTTCTCTTCACTGACAGGCACCAACCCCATCGCCTTTGTCATCGGCAGTTCAACCCCATGTCGCCGTATGGAGGAATGGCCGACACCACCATGCCACGGGACTCAAAGCAGGCAGGACAATGCCAGGTCATCAAACTAGACAGGAAGACCAACACCAAGAAATACAGCAGAAGCACTCACAGTGCACACGATGCTTATTGCTTGTGTCTGTACTGGCTGCCGTGACGCTGCAGGGGCGAGGCCGGGGCTTGTAGCACACACAGTGACACTGAAAACACACCAAGGGCTGGTGGACAGGAAAGAACAGTAAAACACGCAATGCCCAAGTGCCGCTGCGTCTCGGACGGGTGACTCTGTGAGGAGCCCCACCCACGGGCCGAGGACCCCTGCCACCCCGTGAGAGCTAAGCGGAAGCTTCCCAGGGCCAGGGGAGGAGCCTGCAGACTGGCAGGGCAGACGGCGATACCAGCACTATCTCCCCGCCCGTGGCCGGCAACAGGCACGTAGCAACAACCCAACAACAGTCCCAACAAGCGGCCCACGGGAAATAGTGCTTATTTTAAAGTGCAAGATGTTGACACTGTCCCTGGTAGAATCTATTTTTGAAAAACATAAAGTGCTTTTTATTAACTTTTTTTTTAGCTTGAATACCACAGGAAACAAAAAAAATTTCTATTGTAGTAGGTGATGTACCTACCGCAGCAGGAAGTATTCAAAAGTCTGAACTGGGTATTTGAATTAGGGGTGGATTTTTTTTTCTTTCATTTTTGCAGGTTAAAAAAAAATCAGATTTTTATGCTGTTCTTCAGTAACACACAGTCTCTTTGAATAAGCTGTTTCTTTTGCATATTTGACACTTGCATATCTTTTGAGTCCACACTAGCGACGTCAGGAAGTGTTTTCCTGTCAGCATCCGAAAGCAACACTCCGAGTTCAACCTGTTGGCTGAGTGCCCGCCTTCTGATTCCTTCCCAGACCGCAGGAGGATGGCAGAATTGAGTACAGGTTGAGTACAGTGGTGCAACTCCCCCTAATGACATCTTGCAACGAGACCTCAGGCGCTATGGGGAGATGGAAGCCAGCGAGACAATTGAGTATCGGTTTTGCGCTGGGATGGTGGTTTATGGCGCAGATTTCCCCATGCCACAAGAGTTCCCTGGAGCCTTGTAACAGCAGGATCCATCCAGGAGCTCACAGACAGGTGTTCCCAGAGCTGGCTGGGCAAACCCGGTGCCGCAGTGGCCAACAACACCAACCCCAGCCCCTCGTTCCAGCGTTCTTCTCCGGCGGAAGCCAGGAGGGTGGGAACCTGATGAAAAGGCAGGAGAGAAGGCTGGGGAGTCGGTGGCCTTGGTCGCGAATGGTGGTGGTGGTGGCTGTGAGTTCCACGCATGTCGTCCCCCTTTGGGGGCAGTGGAGTTGTGTGACAAGGAGGTGCTACACCCCATGGCTTGGCCGACTTCATGCCCACGCACCTGCCACGGCTCTCAAGGTCCCAGCAGGTGTCTCGGGAGGCTCCTCTCTTCTCTCTGGGGGCTCTGCAGGGCTTTTCTGCGTCAGAGTTCAAGCAGAAAAGCTCTATGGCAGGTCAGAGGAACAGCCCCCCCCCTCTGGGCCGCGGCCACAGTCTCCCCTCCACGGCGGGTGGGAGGGGGCGTGGTTCAGATGCTCTGATCCCGAGTGCTCCCGTGAGCTCCTCCCCCTGGCAACACGCGGACGTCGGGGGAGATGTGGTTCCCGAGTTTGCACTTTTCCTGGCCGCTGAGGCTTTTTCCAGTCAACCCTTCCGTGGAGTAAATACAGTTCTGCCTCAAGAATTTCGGGGAGGTGGGTAAGGGGGCACTTTCAAAGTGGTTCTTTTCTGACCTCGCCCCGATGCTGCACTTGGGACTGGCGCCCCCGTGGAGGCTCTTGGGAGGGCTGGAGTCTACACTGTAGAGCAGCTGGCCCTCGTCATCTGTGTCGGCATCAATGTACTGGTGGACGCCTGCCTCGAAATTGAATGCTATTGCTGTGGGCTTCTCGGGCGACCGGGGGGGTGTCCTCGCACTCGCTGTGGTGTAGATGGAGGACTCTGGGCTCAGCACAGGCTTGTCCAAGAGTGTGGCGCACTCCAGGCCGGCGACAGCAGCCGCAGCACCCCCCCGGGTCCTCAGAGGGTCATGGTACATCCCCAGGACGGGGAGGAGTGGACCGGGCTCGCCGGCCATAAAGTTGACTTTGAGTGCTCGGAGCTTCAAGGGGTTGTTGGTCTTCATGGAACTCTTGGGGCTCTCGATGAAGAAACCGGAGCCGTGGCTGGCATCCGGGGTGGGGTTGGCCTCCACGAGCCGGCCCCCGCTGGCACCCAGGGCTCCCCGCCAGCCCAGCTCTGGGGCCGCGCCGCCCCCAGCCTTGGTGGGGAGGGAAGCCAAGGGGCTGTGGGAGAACCTGGTGGCTTCGGGGAAGTCCGTGGCACAGCTGATAAAGCTGTCAATGCTTGACATACTTCGCATGTCGATGACCCCCTCGGTGCGAGTGGGCAGAGGGGCCACGGGGCTTGGGATGCTCTCCATTTCCAGTTCTTCCTTCGGCTTGCTCTGTGCCGCTGCCTCCTTGGTGTTGAGGACGGGCTGCGACTGGGTCTTGGCCATCTTGTTGTACATGTCTTCCAGCTGCTGCACGTTCAGGTGCTGGGGACTCGACGAGGATCTGGCTTTCTCAGGGGAGCCCTGCTCCTTCGTCTCAAAGGACTTACTTGAGCTGGTTTCGGACAGGGTCCTCTTTGTCCACTTCCACTTGTTGGGAGACAAGTGGTTATCTTGTACTTTTTCCTTCTTCGCCAAATTCTCCCCGTTCTTCTCCACCACGATGTCCATCATCTCGACACTCCGGGCGAAAGCGTCCTTCATGTTCATGGATACGATGCTGCCATTCCTCTTGGCTCTCTCCAGAGCCTCTCTGCGCTTGATCGCTTTCTCCTGCCTCTTTTGCTCCTTGTAGAACTCGGAGAAGTTGTTGACGATGATGGGGATGGGAAGAGCAATCACCAGGACCCCGGCGATACAGCAGAGCCCCCCTACAATTTTCCCCAGGAGAGTCTTGGGGTAGATGTCTCCATACCCCACAGTCGTCATGGTGATGGTGGCCCACCAGAAAGAGGCCGGGATGCTTTTGAACTTGGTGTCGTCCTCATCCTTCTCGGCAAAGAAGACGAGGCTGGAGAAGATCATGATGCCCATGGCGAGGAAGAGGATGAGCAAGCCCAGCTCGTTGTAGCTCCTCCGCAGGGTGAAGCCCAGGGACTGGAGGCCGGTGGAGTGCCGCGCCAGCTTCAGGATGCGCAGGATGCGCATGATGCGGAAGATCTGGACCACGCGCCGCACGTTCTGGAACTGCAGCACGCTCTTGTTGGACTCGGTGAGGAAGATGGTGACGTAGTAGGGCAGGATGGCCAGCAGGTCGATGGCGTTGAGCGGGCCCTTGAAGAACTTCCACTTCTTGGGCGAGGAGAGGAAGCGCAGCAGGTACTCCATGGTGAACCACGCGATGCACACGGCCTCCACGTGGGCCAGCTGGGGGTTGTCCGTGGTCTGGCCGAACTCGTCGAGGCTCTGCAGCTCGGGCAGCGTGTTGAGGGACAGGGCGATGGTGGAGAGGACGATGAACATGATGGAGATGATGGCCAGGATCTGCGGGCAGAAAAGAGGGGCTCAGTTACTAACCGCCAACAGGACGGGCCCCCCGACACCCGGGGTCTGCAGGGACTCCTGGCGTTCAAGAGCACGTCTCGTAGTCAGTCAATGACCAAACGGTGAGCAGAAAAGGTAGTTTCTTCCAGTCTGTTGGTTGTGCCAATGAGAAAACTGAGGCCCAGAGAAACCAAGTTCAAGTTGCTCAACAAGCCCAGACACCGGCAGACTTTCTCTAGCAGGGGCCACATAGTGACTGGGTTTGGCTCTGGAGCCTGTGTATTCTCCGTTGCAACTATCCCACCCTGCAGCTGTAGCACAAACGTGGTTATGGATAACACATAAGAGAATGGGCATAGCTGTGTGTCAATAAAACTTTATTTACAAAAACAGTGGGCTGAATTTGACCTATAGACCATAGTCTGCCTCCTGCTGGAGAGCAGTGGTTCCTAATAGTTATGGGGTGCAGAACCGCTTTCATGACAATGTTCTGATGATGAGCTTATTTCATTCTGACATCGATCCCACTAAAGAATCAGCAATCTTAGCTCCACTGGACAGAGGAAGCTCTGACTTCCACTGCTACTAAGTGGCAGAGCCAGGATTTTAACGTAGGTCTACCTGACCCTTGAACATAGACTCTGAAGGATGTATTAAAAATCAGATGAGGGGCTGGCCTGTGGCACAGTAGGTTGATCCTCCACCTGTGGTGCTAGCATCCTATGTGGGTACCGGTTCCGGTCCTGGCTACTCCATTTCCAATCCAGCTCTCTGCTATGGTCTGGGAGAGCAGCAGAAGATGGCCCAGGTCCCTGGGCCCCTGCACCCGTGTGGGAGCCCTGTTAGAAGCTCCTGGCTCCTGGCTTTGGATCGGCTCAGCTCCGGCTGTTGCAGCCAATTGGGGAGTGAACCAGCGGAGGGAAGACCTTTCCTTCTCTCCCTCTCACTATATGTAACTCTACCTCTCAAATAAATAAATAAAATCTTTAAAAAAATCAGAGGCAAGCTAATGACCTTTTTCTAGAAAAATGCTCAGAAACGTAAGATTTTGCAGGTAGCTTCTGGGGAGGCAGACATCCTGGATCCACCTTACTAACTCCCGATGGGAACTATGAACTTTTGGGGGCCAAAGGCCTCGGCTTAGCCACCTCTGAGTCCCCTGGACCAAGAAGGGGGCTGGGTACAGAGTCAGGTGTTGATGGATGTCCGTTGACGTGAGTGGAATCCAGACAATCTGAAGACTTACACGGAAGGGCAAGCAGGTGTAATAAATCGCTCTGAGGGTCTCTCTTCCAAAACGCAAGCCCACTCACATTATTCTCTGTGTAATAAATCTCCAGACCCCTCAGGCCAAGAACCCAAACCTTAGAACCACGTCCCTGTTGGGTCGCCCAACACTCCTCCATTTTCAGAAAATTTCCCCTTTCCTACCTTGCCCCTGTCCCGCAGCATGGGCCTGGCTGCCGTGTGTGTTCCATGTGACCCCGGCTGGCACTGACTGGCCCGGGGGGCAGGAGCAGAAAACCCAGGATGAGCCCTGTTCTTTGGGAATTTGAGGCCAGGGATTCAGGGGGTGAGTGGATTATGGGAAGGTGAGCCCTGGAATTAAAGGGTCAGCAGAATCCAGGCTTGGACCGGCCCAGCCCTGAGCAAGTGTCCCCAGGTTGTAGGGGAGAGAAAAGCATTGAACAGAAGCTTCTAGAGAGAAGCTGGAGAATAAGGGAAGGAGGCAGGACCCTGGAGTCACGGGCAGCAGTGCAGAGCCTGGGCTGCTTGGGGTTCAAGCCCCAGCTCTGCCACTCTCTTACCTTGAGCAAAGCTATTTAATCTCCCTTGGCCTCAGTTTCCCCATCTGCAAGATGGGATGATAATAACAGGATCTATCTTAGAGAGCTGGCATGAAGACAAGACGTGTTGACACACGCGGAGCCTAGCACCACTGCAGCAGTACACAGTGGGCATCTAATAAATGCTGGCCATCATCACAACAAAAATCTCAGCCCTACACCGTCTCTTCAGCCCAGACCACTCAGCCTCCACGCACACGCACCCATGTGCCCAGTGCTGGGGGCGGGGCTGGTGCTGAGACTCAGCTCTGTCCCCCAGCACTAGCCTGGGGTGTGACACCTGAGAGGCACCGCTGTTTGGTGTCACTCCTTCATGGGTCTGTGTGTGGAAGGGCTGGCACCAAAATTCAGTGCTTGATTTGGCAAACCGGCATTGGCCGTCTCTCACGTGCGAGGCACTGGGGACAGCACAGACACAATGGGAGCCCCGGTGCCCTTCTGGGCCAACTCTCTGCTTCCTGGACCTCAGCCGCTCTTGACGTTTACGGTCATGGCCAATATGCCCAGGTTTTAAAAACAAACAGCTTGGAGCCGGCGCTGTGGCTCACTTGGTTAATCCTCTGCCTGCGGTGCCAGCATCCCATATGGGCACCAGTTCTAGTTCCAGCTGCTCCTCTTCCAGTCCAGCTCTCTGCTGTGGCCCGGGAAGGCAGTGGAGGATGGCCCGGGTGCATGGGAGACCAGGAAGAAGCACCTGGCTCCTGGCTTTGGATCGGCGTAGCTCCGGCCTAAGCGGGCATTTGTGGGGTGAACTAACGGAGGGAGGACCTTTCTGTCTCTCTCTTTCTCTGTCTAATTCTGTCAAACAAACAAACAAACAAACAAACAAACAAAAAAAACCAGTTTTTAGGTCTTCACGTCTTGGTCTGCGTTCGCGGAGAAGGGAGGTTCTGTAACCACGTTCTAACGTGAGATCGCTGATTCGTACAAGAGACCTGGGTTAGACATCGCTGACGCACATAAGCAGAGGAACACCTGTGAGCTGCCGCTCACGGTCAGGGGCGGGGCAGGTAGCAAGGACACAGGGGCTTCCTGGGGGTCCTTCCCTCCCCACGGAGTCGCGCCAGGTAGAGTGTGCTCCTTGTACCTTTGCTTTTCTGTGTCATTTGCCACACGAATGTGTGTGTCCCCAAACCGATCACCACTGTCTCGACATCATGCTGGACGACCCTGGCTCTCAGATTCGGCTCTTCCGGATGGTAGAACTGCCCCCGCCCCCGCCCCCGCTCGCTTCTATTTTAGTCTTATCCTGGGAAATAATACGATGTATGGATGAAATAGTTACCAACATAAATGTGTGATTGTTGGAATAAAATGTCTTGGCAGCTCACTATTCGGAAAAATTTTTTAAAGATTTATTTATTTATTTGAAAGTCAGAGTTACATAGAGAAAGAAGGACAGGCGGAGAGAGAAAAAGAGAGAGAGAGAGAGAGAGAGAGAGAGAGAGAGATGTCTTCCATCTGCTGGTTCACTCCCCAAATGGCCACAATGGCCAGAACTGGCCGATCTGAAGTCAGGAGCCAGGAACTTCATCTGGGTCTCCCATACAGGCGCAGGGGCCCAAGGACCTGGGCCATCTTCTACTGCTTTCCCAGGCTGTAGCAGAGAGCTGGATCAGAAGTGGAGCAGCCGGGACTCGAACTGGTGCCCTTATGGGATGCTGCAGGCGGTGGCTTTACCAGCTACGCCACAGCGCTGGCCCTGGAAAATTTTCTTTCTAAAGGTTTTGCTCAAAGTCTTTTGACCTGTGTGGTTTGTTTTGTTTTGTTTCAATTAATTAATTATTTATCTTTCTTGTATTTGAAAGGCAGAGAGACAGATAAGGATGTTCTGTCCAAAAGCCCGCAATGGCCAGAACTGGGTCAGGGCAAAGCCAGCAGCCTGGAATTCAGTCCAGGTCTCCCTTGTGGGTGGCTTGAGTCTCCCAAGGCATGCATTGGTAGGAAGCTGGAAGGGGAAGTGGAGCCGGCACTTGAACTCGGCACTCCTGTGTGGGATGTGGGCATCCCGAGTGGCGTATTAGCCACTGCACAAAACACCCCCAGGAACTTCCACACTGGGTTAGGGGTGTGGGCGCTGGGCTTGGAATCTCAGCTCCGATCCTCAGTTTCTTTATTTGGGACATCAGGATACACCCATGCTTCTGCACTGGGGGTGGTTTTTTTTTTTTTTTTTTAAGATTTATTTATTTTGTTATTTGAAACACGGCATTACAGAGAGATAGGGAGATCTTCCATCTGCTGGTTCATTCCCCTGCTAGCCTTATGACTGGCTGAAGCCAGGAGCCTGGAACTCCATCCGGGTCTCCCGCACGGATGCAGGGGCCCGAGGACTTGGGTCACCTTCTGCTGCTTTCCCAGGCGCATTAGCAGGGAGCTGGATGGGAAGTGCAACAGCTGGGACTCAAACAGGCACTCATAAGGGATGCAGGCGGTGGGTTAATCCCCTGTGCCACAGCGCCAGCCCCCACCCCCACCCCGGGGAGGCAGTTCTGGCCACAGCAGACACCAGGCCATTTCTGCAGGACGGGGCCAGGCGTGCTGTTCAACATCCTCCAACCCCCCCGCCCCCCGAGAAAGACCATGGCCGAATGTCACCAGCACCGAGGCTGCGGGATTCTAGGATGTGCCAGTAGGCAGCCCCTCGCCGGTTAAGGTGGGGGAGCTGCGTAGCTGTGGGTCTCTGGCTGAGCCCCGTGGGTCTCAGGCTCCCGGCAGGAGGACGTCTGCGCCCCAGGGAGAAGACTCCCCGGGAGGAGTCTGTTTCTTTAAGAGCTGGGAGCTCCCGTTTCCCCCAGAGGCCGGCAGGGGAAGCCTGCTCCAGTTTCTAACCCCAGACAACTGCGGGGAAGGCCGCATAATTGATGTTCTGCCGACAGATGCATGAATTATGCACACAGCTATTGGACGGTCCTTGGGGCCTGTTATTCCAAGGCAGGCACCCCCTTTGTACCTGAGAGTGTGCCCTCCCCCTGCCGCCCCTCAGCCTGAGGGGACAAGTGGGGGAGCCCCTGCGGGTCCTGGGGGAGGTGTACCGGCTGCTGACGCTGGGTGGGAGGATACAGAGTGCCAGGCCTCCCTCTCGGTGGGCGGAACAACAGCATGGATGCTCCCCGCCCCGCCCCTCCCGGTCCCCTCTGCAAGACCGCTTTT